GAGAGAGAACCTTGATTCCCGGCCGCTTACCTCATCAAAACATCCCCGGATGTTTTGATGAGGTAAGCGGCCTGCTGCTCTGTTCGTTTCCCCCCCCCCTCTTTCCTCCCCCTCCTTTTCTGTCCTCAACCACCACCTCACGCGCCCCAGCCAGCCCTCGGAACAAAACCAAAGGCAAACCAGCCGCCTCCCGACCCGACCAACGCGACCGAAACCGACCGAGGGCTGTTTCCAGGCACGAAAGCTCCCAAGGGAACCCACGCACGTCCCAGGCGCCGATCCGATCCGGTCCGGCCCGGTCCGATCCGATCCGATCGCCACGGCTCTGACCCTGGTGGAAAAAAAAAGTAAGTAATATTTTTTTTTTTTTTATTCTTCTTTTGCTGTCACTTGCCCCCAAAATCCGCCAAAAAGGGCCCTTTTTTGGGGGCTATCAAGCCATGAGGGTATGAATCTGACCCTTTTTTTTCAATCCAGAAGACCAACCAACCTCGAATTGCACCGGCTCTGATCAGAATCCAATCCGGGGCAATAAAAAAGAAGGCTGAAACTAGGCCTTGTGAGTAAATTTCGTTTGGGTCTCCTGCCAGGAAAATACGCCACAAAGGGATTTTTCTGGGGGCTATCCAGCCATGTGTGAGGGTATGATGCTGACGCTTTTTTTATCCAAATAAAAAAAGTGCCCTACGTACAACTTGTGAGTAATTTTTAATGGGTGCGCAATCCGGGTGAGTCTGAGGCTTATTTTTTTTGGTTTTGCATCCACGCCATAGACCTACAAACCGCTCAAGTGAGGCTCCAATCAATCCAGTGCTATAAATCGGACCCTTGGTACAACATGTTAGTAGCTTTTTTCTTGAGCGTCCTGCCCCCCAATGCGCCCAAAATATGTGTCATTCGGGCCGCAAAATGGAATATTATGATGGTAATTCACATGTGAATTGATCACAGATTTTTGTTTTGGTTTCCTTGCAGTCCTCCTACATAAACTGCAACCCCCCACACCTACTCTCTCAAGTGTCAAGTGTAAGTATTCTGATTTTTTTAACCCTTGCCATAATCAATTCAATGCTGACTTTTACCTGTGGTTGTGTAGACCATGTCTACCCTGGAACGTAAGTTAAACTCTTGGTAGTTTTCATCATGGGTTCTTTCCATCTCACACGTCTGCTTGAAAAATGTCACAGGTTTGGACCTTTACGAAAAAGTCCAGGCATTGGCCGCCCACCCGGCTTTGAAACCAAACGAACGGGGCCACATTCAAGCGCTCCTCAACGATATCAAGGCAGATTACGAGAATTCTGATGACGAGGATAACACGGGTGGTCCAGAGGTCACCAACATCCAAAGGTCACCTGCAACCCCTGTCGGTGAGGAGCGACCTCAAACAGCTGGGCATTCTTCCAATCTTCCTGCTGCCCAATCCCCCGCCGGCCCCACTGGTTCGGAATCTTACCTGGCCTCAGAACCCCAGCCGGCCAAAGACATTTGAACACCAAATCAATCACCCTCACGTGCCCCAAGGATGGGTGAATTTTTCATCCTCCCAAATCCTATTGGCGCACCTCGAACGACCTGCCCCACCTTCAGCCAATTCTCGTCGGGCAATACAACCAGTCCAGTACCGGCAGACGTCGATATGGATTCACACATGCAAGATGGCCAACATTTGGACAATTCACGGAGTACTCTCAATACGTTGGGACAGACGACTTTCCTCACGCCAGCCGGCAATGAATTTCTAGAGTCAATTGAGGAAAATCACGCGGTCCTCAATAAGCGAGGTTTCTGTGACACCAGCATCCAACCCTGCATCTACAACT